CACCATTGCCATCAGCGGTCCATTCTAGATGTCGATGGATGTGAGTACTGAGGATTAAGCTGGTCCTTAAGATGATCTTATGATGAAATATAAAAAGTGGCTATGAATATCAACTACAGAATCGTATTAGCGTTTTAAGACATTACTTAAGATAAGTCTTAAAATAAGAACCGATTATGAACCCAAATCATTTTATTATTCTTGTACATAAATTGTAAACTTAGCTATAACCATCTATATAAAGTTACATCTATATAAATTTATCGAATTAAAAATATCAAAAATATTTTTTCAAAGAGATAAAGATCTATTTTTTATTATAACAATTAATGTACAAATTATCCCACATTCACTAGATAAAATTTGAATTGTATATTTCTCGATAATTATAAATTTAATTTCTTTTGAGGATCATAAAAATTCTTCTCTAAACAAGGATGACAAGTTTCGATCTCATAACCAACGTAAATATTTTAAAATATTGTATTCACAAATGAAAGTATATTTGAACTTAAGTAAAAGAAATTATCTATGCATATCTACAATAACAACTGTAGAAACATTTTTTATTTTTATATAAATTTTAAATCCATTACATTTATCATTAATATTTAGTGATAATGAAATACATTGCACAATTACTATTCTTTTGTCTATAAATAATATATCGACTGACCAATCACGCGAAAAATTACAAACTAATACGAATAATAAAATAGTAACTAATATAATAGTAGTCATTTCCAAACGGTATTAACACAAATGTCAAATAACACTTCGATTATTCCTTTATTTATAATAAACACATGTAAAGATGTACAGACTGTATCTTTAACATTGTAAATAATAAATATAACATATAAGTATACTGGGTTTTCAAAAAAGTTCATATGAATTCCAACAGATGTTACTCAAAATTTAATCCAAATTATTCTTAAACTTTATATGTGTATAATTTATAGTTACAGTTTATGATTATTAAATAGCTATAAACAAATTACAAATTAATTTCTCATCCGTGTTTATAAAATATTTTTTTTAATTATTTAAATGTCATGTTATTATTTCAATGCTACCTATCCCAGATTACAACGCTGTTTATCACATGCGATTAGATATTGTTTTTATAGCTGAATATACCTTCTTTGCACTTAAAGTGAAATAGGTATATGTGACAAAAGTGAAAAAGAAAAAAGGTTTTAGTGCAGCAATAAAAAATAAATTTACTATACATATTTTGGACTCACCATGCCATTGTGCTTTTGCGTATCCTCTGACAATCTTTTTGCTAGCTTTTCCAACGTCATCCTGCACGTCAATTAAAATATACTTAAATCTCCCATAGCCATCGATATCCACATCAGGCACATTGTCCAATAACTGAGACATCCTGACGAATCGACGTATACTTGCTATACCTATAACAAAATATGTACAAAACTAAACACAATGTACGACATAATGTGATGAACAAATTGTTTCTATTTACATTTGTGTATCACATCGCGTTACAAATGAGCACATTGGCTGCTTTCTCTATTTAGTAACACAAGTAGTCACAAATATTCTATTTTTCTTACATTCAATAAGAAATAAAAATAAGGTGACACTCGTGCCAGCTTGTACTAAATGGAAAATATCTATTGTTCAATAATTGGAACTTCCCGACAGCTTAACGAATTGACGTATATACTTACTATACTTGTAACAAAATACATGCGCAACAATAAACATACACAGTACAACATAACCTGAAGCGAACCATTTCTATTTACATCCGTGTATCGCACCACGTTGCTAATAACATTCTTGACGTATTGCTAACCAAAATAACACGGAATGAACATATCTCAAATATTTTTACGCGCAACGTGATGTTATTTATTGTAATCGTCACAAAATACCTCTTGGAGCAACTTTCCGGCCGCTTGTTGATGCTAATCCAAACTTTAAAATTGCAGCAATGAGGCCCATAAGCAGCAGTGTTGTTAGACGGGCCGGATTTCAGACGCATGCGCGTCCAATATAGCTTCAGTAATGTATCCAAAGGTGCATTCCGTATTGCGCATGATGTGCGTTAGACGGGCCGGATTTCAGACGCATGCGCGTCCAATATAGCTTCAGTAATGTATCCAAAGGTGCGTTCCGTATTGCGCATGATGTGCGTGATGCATCCATTGTCCTTATTTAACATTTGGTGAGCAACAAAGATAAACGATGCATTATGCGCATCATGCGAGTAACGGAACGCACCCCTAGAGAATGGACTATGCAATCCGTATCTGGCCCAGTTTCTAAACTTTCCTTTTACAAGCCATGCTTTTATAACTGTTTCAAATTCGCTCAACGTTATTGAACTGTGTGTTTTTTGCACTGCCCCCATAAAATAAATTTATTATATATATATGTGTGTGTGTGTGTGTGTATAAGCCAGGATTGGGTAGTAACGAGTTAAAACATTAAGTTAAAAATTGATTCTCGCTTCTTACCCGCATTAACTTTAACGTTTAATTTAGTTTTAAAAAACTGTGATCTTACCCTGATATAATCTTATATGTATACGGATATGTATACATATGCATGTGTAAGAGAGTTAAATTGATACTTACTTATTATAGCCTCAGAAATATGTAAAAGAGGGAAAACTTATTCTTTCCTTTAAATCCTATACAACTATATTTTTTGGCCACTTTATTTAAAAATAATGAAAACATTATTCTGTTAATAGTATGCTAATTTTATAACTGTTTATTTTTAGTCCAAAGTAAAAATTACACAAAAACTATTTCAATTCTCATGTACATAGCTAACAGAGTATAGTATGCTTTTTCTTAATAATATTCATATTTACAAAAGAGAAAGAAATATGCACACAAAATTACACACAAATGTAGTTATAAATTATAAATTTTCACGAGTCTTAAGAGGATGCCAAACTGATTACCCAACTCGATCAAGGTAGGTCGATAATACAGACTTTTTTAATTCCAAATTCGACAATAGTGATGACATCTTTGA